AGCTCTTCCACAGCACACTGGCCAAAGTGATCCCTGAGTAGCGCAACGTAGCTCTTCCACAGCACACTGGCCAAAGTGATCCCTGAGTAGCGCAACTTAGCTCTTCCACAGCACACTGGCCAAAGTGATCCACCGCAACTTAGCTCTTCCACAGCACACTGGCCAAAGAGATCCCTGAGTAGCGCAACGTAGCTTTCCCACAGCACATTTACCGAAGTGATCCCAGGATAGTTGTAGAGTTGTAATGTACTTATCAAGCCGTTTTTTTTTTGGTGGCGGCCGTTGCCGTTGGCGCGGGCGAAGCTGCTGGCAGAGCACTTCACAACTTGCGTGTGGATGCTCAGATTTTTCCCCACCCGTAGGACTGTGGTGTTGTTAGATTTTTAGAACTTTGGACTTCAGCACGCCCGGTAGCCCAACTTAGCTCTTCCCAACACACTGGCCAAAGTGGTCCCTGAGTAGCGCAACTTAGCTCTTCCATAGCACATTGGCCAAAGTGGCACAGCACACTCACCAAAGTGGTCCCTGAGTAGCCCAAAGTAGCTCTTCCACAGCACGCTGGCCAAAGTGGTCCCTGAGTAGCCCAACTGGCCCAACTTAGCTCTTCCATAGCACACTCACCAAAGTGGTCCCTGAGTAGGCCAACTTAGATCTTCCATAGCACACTGGCCAAAGAGGTCCCTGACTAGCGCAACTTAGCTTTTCCACAGCACACTGGCCAAAGTGGTCCCTGAGTAGCGCAACTTAGCTCTTCCACAGCATACTGGCCAAAGTGGTCCCTGAATAGCCCAACTTAGATCTTCCACAGCACACTGGCCAAAGTGGTCCCTAAGTAGCGCAACTTAGCTCTTCCACAGCACACTGGCCAAAGAGGTCCCTGACTAGCGCAACTTAGCTTTTCCACAGCGTACTGGCCAAAGTGGTCCCTGAGTAGCCCAACTTAGCTCTTCCACAGCACACTCACCAAAGTGGCCCCTGAGTAGCCCAGCTTAGCTCTTCCACCACACTGGCCAAAGTGGCTTCTGAGTAGCGCAACTTAGCTCTTCCACAGCACACTGGCCAAAGTGGCCCCTGAGTAGCGCAACTTAGCTCTTCCACAGCACACTGGCCAAAGTGGTCCCTGAGTAGCCCAAAGTAGCTCTTCCACAGCACACTCACCAAAGTGGTCCCTGTTCACCAAAGTAATCCCTGAGTAGTTCAACGTAGCTCTTTGACAGCACACTCACAAAAGTAATCTCTGACTAGTTCAACTTAACTCTTCCACAGCACGCTCGCCAAAGTGATCCTTGTTCACCAAAGTAATCCCTGAGTAGTTCAACGTAGCACTTCCACAGCACATTCACCAAAACGACCTCTAAGTATTGACACCACATTCACCAATCTGATCCCTGAGTAGCTAAACCTATTTTTTCCACAAATTCACAAACTGATTTCTAAGTAGCTCATCTTAGCTCTTCCACAGCAACCACAGTTCTTAGTAGCACACTCACGAAGTGGTCTCTGAGTAGCCCAACTTAGCTTTTCCACAGCACACTCACCAAAGTGGTCCCTGAGTAGCTTAGCCTTTCCACAGCACACTCACCAAAGTAGTCCGCGAGTAGCCCAACTTAGATCTTCCACAGCACGTTGACCAAAGTAATCCTTGAGAAGCCCAAAGTAGCTTTTCGACAGCACGTTCACCAAAGGAATCCCTGACTAGCCCAACTTAGCTCTT